CGTTTCAAGTGTCCTTGCACGGGCTACTTTTCAAGGATCTTTAATTCAAAATAATCAATATGCTAAACTGGCATATTTTGGGGTGGGCCGTCCTGGGCCCCAACAGGCCACTAAGGATATTTTGTTAACTCTGTAATTGGTGAATTTAAAATTTGGTTAATTTTTAACAGACTTTCAGGGAGTTTCAACAGAGGCAGTTTTAGCCTATCATTGGACTTCTTCCCCAAACTCTGTGCTGTCACCTGAGGAAAAGCCACCCCAGCTTGATTGGTAGTTGTCTTCTTCTAGGCATTTCATGAGAAGTGATGCTCATCATTCACAGTCATACTGCCATGGAGGACATAAATCTCCAGTAACACCTGAGGACCGGGTCATATAATTGATGGGAGCAGATGCTCGTGCACATTCCAGCTCATTCCCCTCAGAAGGCAACCAAACACTAAAGGGAGAGCCTTTACCCACCATTGCTATTCACGAAACTTTCAATGAGCCCAACTTCTCATTTGTAATAATTTCACCAAATACTGGGAATAGTTTGTTCTTAGAGGACTTCAAACTGATATTGAATGAACACCTAAGGACTCTGACTTGAGGGACCAACTGTAAGCTTCCCTCCACCCTGGATGTCTTATTATAACATTATCCTGTGATTTTGTGTTCTAATTCTGTTCTTTACTGAGTTAATATGAATAAGTAGATTGGAAAGCCCTCTTCAGCTTGAGAACTGTGTGGTTGTTCTGTTCTTTTATATCAGTGGAAATGATTGGCTACCTGGTAAGCTCCAAGCACACATTTCATGTTTACCTTGGCACAACTGATACTCTCTTTCTCCACAGAAGCTCAGCAGCTTCTTCACAAGAACTATTGATATAATTAATATCTTTTTTAAGATATCCAGGATTGAAAATATGAAAGATTCTTTTCATGTGCTTTCAGTATAAATAAGGGATTCTTCAGTTTTATAAGATTTTAATTATCAATATAAGCTTAGGCCAGATAATGTGGAATATAGAGAAAACAAAGAAAATTTGGCCCAATTTTATCATCATGAATCAGCTGTGAGGGCTCATCTATCTTGTTCATACAACACCCATAATACCTAGAACAGTGCCAAGTACACAGAATGGGCTTAATATTATTTGGTAAAGGAGTGAATTAATTATAATTTTGATGGATTTTATTCCTCCCCTTTTCCTCATACACATTTTTTTGTGGTTACAGTTCATGATGCTTATGTTGGCATTTGTACTTTGATTTTTCTTTGTTTATTTACCCTTATATAAAGTATGTTCTTTTGGGCCATAGAATTCTCTTAATCATTGTTCATAATGAGTGACTAATACAGGAAGCACATTCTAACATTGCTGCCTTAAAGTTGAGTGTGCTGCTTAAGAAATAGTGTTTTCTTATCCCTGCAGGTACTCACACATTGGCTGGATGTTTAATGATCAGATATGACTTTTATGGCATACATTGCTCTAAGACCACTTTCCAGTCTACTACTTAGGAACTTCAAGGACAGGTCATTTTGCAAAGCTAATAGGCTTTCATAACACATGGCTATCTTGAATCAAAACTTTTCCAAGAACCACTCTTCCCACTCATGTATTGTGCTCCTTGGTACCCATTACTACCTAAGCTTAAGGTGTAAATTTGAAAAATAATGGGGCTTTACTTCTTGGAAATAGCCATTTTTTCAGAATTTCCATTCAATTAATAAGTAATAAGCAAGTTCCTATGTGCTGGGTGCATTTTGAAATGACTAAACCTCAATCTCTGATCTCACAGAATTCAGTTAATAATTACTAATGCTGTATGATGCATTGGGCATACAAGGATAAAAAATGCCCTTTCTGTTGTAGAACTCAGAAAAGGTGATAGGAGGAGGGAGTGGGGGGATTGACGTATATGCAAATAACCAGGAGGAAATGAGGTCAATGCTACAGAAGAGATGTGTAGAAGGGGTGACCTTGGCACACAGAGGGCAAAGCTAATCTGCATAGTGAAATGGTATTGAGGCCAGGAAGCTAAGATACACAGGCTGACAACTTTTAATGACACAGAAAGGGTTAAATGTGTTAAAAGAAGACAGAGAAAATGTGGCAGTTCATCTATGTGAAAGAGAGGGGCTTTCCCTGCCAAGAGGATTCCTGTGGGACTGGGCATCCAACCATACCTTGACAAGTGGGTGTGGGAATGGAGAAAGGGTTCTATTATGTTAGAAAAAATTTAGCAACTTGTGTCTGTGTTCAGATTCCTGGGACAAGGTGTTTGTTTTTGTTTAGTGGTTTAACTTTTTATTTGTTTGTGACATTTTAATAACCAGAGAAAAGATTCATAGCATAGCCAGCACACCCTGAAGTTCCAATGGCAGGTTGGGAATGTGTAAGTCACACTGGTCCACCCTCAACTAAGATCTCTTCATCTGGGAGCTGAGCCAGCTGACCTGCCATCGACATTGAGACTGTCCAATGTGTCTTCACCACTTTTGGGTGTTTATCAGCCCCTCGTTCACTTTGTCTAAGTACCTCTCTGACAGAGGGCATGCAATGGCATTTCTGTTCATTTGGGACATACCTGTTGCACATTCAGGTGGAAAGCTGATAGCTGTCTTGAAAAATTCAGAAAGTCTGTGGGCCTCAAGAACAAAAGGTCTTTTCTTTTCTCTGGAAGGAAAGAGGTAAACCCTGGAGGAAAAAGAGAAGCTCCTCAGAAAGGGAAGAACATGTTCCACCATGGAGCAACAGCCATAGACAGCCATGGCAGGGAGTGCTTTCGGAGAAGGCCCACTTCAAATATATATCACACAGGTGAGGGTATGGAGGGGCCCAACAGAAAGTGCCTTGCATAGATATGGTTCATGCTAAGTCAGAAGACTGAAGGTACTAAAGGAGGCATTGAATTTGGAAGCAGAAAACCTAGGCCTAAGTCTTCTGATTCCATATTAGTTAAGATACTAAAGATAAAAAGTAATAAGAGCAAATGTATTTAAGATTTTCTATGTGCCAGGCTCTGTGGTGAGTGCCTTTATATACATTAACAGTTTTTATTCCATTTTAGTCTTTGTAGCAACTTTATAAAATAAGGACTATTATAATCCCTATTTTAGAGCTGATTCATGAAAATACCTCTAGGAGATAAAAGCATCTTTATCTGAAATAGAGGGTAATAGTCCTAGTGAACTTCCCAGGATCTTTGGAAGGTTTATATGGGATTAAATCTGTGAAGCCATTTTGGAAATGGTGACATGCCTCACATATTGCACTACATGAGAGACTACAGTTTTTCCCATGTTTTTCTTCTCTACCTGAACTGAGCTCCTATAAGGTAAATGGCATGAAAGCATCACTGCAAAGAAATCAGATGTAAGAGATCCACCTCCTCCCTCAAAGACTGACCATCCACTAGAAGTACGACACCTGGGTGAATGCAGAGTAAGGAAGAAGGAGTAAACATCAGAAGGGTGAGTCTAATATGATACTACAGAAGATCATGTTATCCACAGAGATAAGTTTACTTCTTATTTTAGAATTTGGATAGCTTTTATTTCTTTTTCTTACCTAATTACTCTGACTAGGACTTTCAGCATTATGTTGAATAGAAGTGGCAAATGTGGGCATCCTCACCTTATTCCAGATTTATAGGAAAAGCTTTCAGGTTTTTTTTTATCATTGAATGTGCTATGGTTGTGAGCTTTTCATATGTGGCCTGTGTTGTGTTGAGATACACAATTTTTTCAGAAGTTTAATCATGAAATAATGTTGAATATTGTCAAATGTTATTTTTCATCTATTGAGATGACCTTGTGGTTTTCCTCCTTTATTTTGTTAATGTGGTTTATCCTTGCATCCCACAGAAAAATTATAGTCATGGTGCGTGATCCTTTTAATATGCTGTTGAATTTGGCTAGCTAGTATTTCACTGAGGATTTTTGCATTAATTTTCAATAGAGTTGTTTACCTGTGGTTTCCTTTTCTTGTGGTGTTTTTGTTATCAGGTTGATGCAGACCTCATAAAATGCATTTGCAAGTGTTCCCTGTTCGGTTTTTTGTGGAAGAGTTTTAAAAGGGTTGGTATTAATTCTTAAAAATGTTTGGTAGAATTCACCTGTGGAGCCATCTGGTCTTGGGCTTTTCTTTGCTGGGAGTATTTATTTTATTTATTTATTTAATATATTTTATTGATTATGCTATTACAGTTGTCCCATTTCCCCCCTTCACTACCCTCCCCCCTGAAAACCCCCTCCCACCCACATTCCCCCCCTTTAGTTCATTTCCATGTGTCATAAATTCTTTAGCTTCTACATTTCCCGTACTATTCTTACCCTCCCCCTGTCTATTTTCTACCTATTGTCTATGCTACTGATTCTCTGAACCTTTAATAGCCCGATCCCTGCAGTACTGTTGATAACTGTATTTGCTTCTTAATGTTGTAAAAGATTACCACAAATTTACTGTCTTAAAACAACATAAATTTATTATCTCATAATTCTGGAGGTCAGAAGTTTAAAATCAGTCCCACTGGACTAAAGTCATGTGTCAGAAGAGCTGGCTCCTCCTGGAGGTTCTAAGGGAGAATCAGTGACTTTGAGTTCATGAGCTTCTAGAGGCTGCCTGCATTCCTTGGCTCATGGCTCCTTCCTCCATCCTCAAAACACATCTTTCCAGCCTCTTGTTCCATCATTACATCTCCTCTTTCTAACTTTGATCCTCTTGTTTCCTTCCTATAAGGTTCCTTGTGGTTGCATTGGGCCGATCTTGATAACACAGGATAATTTCCCAGTTTTAGGATCCTTAACTTAATCACATCTGCAAAGTTCTTTTTGCTATACAAAGTAATACATTTGTAGGTTCTGGAGATTAGAACATGAACTTTGGGGGACCATTATTCAGCCTACACAGTAACTTTCTAATAACACTCATGACCCCAAATTCTTGTGAAAATACAGTCTATGTATATTGATAGCAATGAATAAATGAGTGAATAAATGAACAAACACCTTTAGTTATTCCACAGATATTTATTATTGGGCTTATTATCTGCTAAGTCATGTTTTAGGCTACCTTCAAAGGAAGTCCAGAAAACCAGGGATTAGTCTACAAACTTGACCCTGCTTGGTCTCAAAGCAAATTCTTTGTCATAGTAGTTCATTGATTGCCATGAAATTAAGACAAGAGGAAAAAACAAGCTTATTTACATCATTCTATTTAAATTATCTGCCTAGAACCAAGGCACAAAGAGCAGCAACACAGATGATACAGCCCCACTTGAGTAAGTTATCCTGGCCACGGGAGTTACGTGGCATCATTGGGGTAAAGGATCTGGAAGAGCTGTCTGGAACAGGTGGTCTGTGTGAATACCTGTCCTGGCTTCCCCAGGTGGCTGGAGTTCTCCTGAAACTCCCACATCCATGTGTAGCTGCCCCCACTGAAGGTAATGGGCCTACTGCCCGTGTGGGCTGTAGGTCTGTCCACCCTGGGGGAAGTGATCCTGCTGCTTGGATGGGCTGAGACCCTGTTCCACGTGCAGCCTGCCGGTCTGCCCCTGGTGTAGGCTGTCGGCCTATCTCCTGTTTGGACTGAGGGCCTGCCCCAGGCACTTGAGTTCCAGCAGTGGCATGGCTGGGCCCTGACATCTTATGCTCAAAGGAACGCCCACTCCCCTGAGCTTCCTTTGCTCCAGCTGAATGGTCCCTACAGCTACTTGCTCTCCTTGTGGGCTGTGGGTCTGTCCCCTTTGTAGCCTGAAGACCTGCTCCTGGTGTGGCTTGTGAACCTGTCTCCTGTTTTGACTGTTGGCCAGACCTCCTTAGAGCCTGAGAGTATGTCCTCTGAGGGATCTGTTGTCCTGTCCCCAGGGTGGATTTTGAATCTGTCCCCACTGAAGGTAATGGGCCTACTGCCCGTGTGGGCTGTAGGTCTGTCCATCCTTGGGGAAGTGATCCTGCTGCTTGGATGGGCTGAGACCCTGTTCCACGTGCAGCCTGCCGGTCTGCCCCTGGTGTGGGTTGTCGGCCTATCTCCTGTTTGGACTGAGGGTCTGCCCCAGGCACTTGGGTTCTAGCAGTGGCATGGCTGGGCCCTGACATCTTATGCTCAAAGGAACGCCCACTCCCCTGAGCTTCCTTTGCTCCAGCTGACTGGTTCCTAGCTTGTTTTTGTCCACAAATGTCACCAGTGTGAGGCAGGGAGCTCCCAATCTCCATGTAGGGGAGAGGGGATTTGGATGGTTTTGTCATGCAGTTTTGCAAGCTCTGAACACAGAAGCCCAAAACACATGCCTCACAATTGGCAGTGTCATGGGACCCTTCCAAAGGCAACTCCGGGATCACTGGTATCTCTGAATACTTCTTGACACCGTCTCCGTAGTATCTCTCCCGAATACGCTGCACCAGGTTGTTCAAAATCCTCATGGTGCTATCTGAGGAGAACTTGGGCTTCTCAAATCGAGACCGGGAACACTTCTGGCACCTCTGACCAAAGAGCCGCATAAGCACCTGACCCTGGGACTTCCGGGGCTCCAGGTGCATGTGACACAGGATCTGCACTTGGGCAGAAGCCCAGTTTCGCTTGCATGAGGAACACCAGAACCTGCAGATAGAAGGAAGAAGCCCATTGTTCCCTCAGTTGATTGTTGACCTAGGGAAATGTCCAGCCTTGGCCTCTAAGACCCCTTTCAATTTGAAAAAAGTATATGTGATATTGACTAATTGACCAACGAGAATAAGAGAAACTGTGTTTCCAATAAAGCTTTTTTTCTGTGACCTGTTGAGCTTCCACCCATACATGATTCTAAGCCTGCCTCTTTGCCAGTAAGACATCTCTGGGAAAAATATTTCTGCCATCTGCCAGCAAAATTTAGTCCTCACAATGGTCAAGGCAAACTCTTATGCAGTATGGTGGTCTTTGCTTATCCGCAGGCACATATGACCCCCCACAGTGGGTACCTGAAACTGTGGATGGTACCAAGCCATGAATGGACTTTTTTCCTGTATATACATACCTATGATAAAGTTTAATTTATAAATTTGACACAGCAAGAGATTAACAACAATAACTAGTAACAGAATAGAACAATTATAACTAATACCTTCAGCAATTATAACTAATACCTTCAGCAATTTTTACATTGGTTAGCCCAAACCTATTCTTGAATCTGTATGACCATCCCTTACTCATAGTAAATGTCCGCTGTTTCAGGGATCTGTTGCTAGAGTCTTCCTCCAGGCTCAAAGCTTTCTGGCACAATACATTGCAGTCAATTGTGGTATAATTTTGTGTATGTCTCTTAACCATAGATGTAATGCCTTTTCCATATTAACTTAGCACTTACCAGGCACTGTGGCTGTAAGTTTTGCAGTTGGAGATGTGACAGCAAAACTCGCACAAATTTCTTTTTCCTTCCTCACAATTTCATGGATAGGAGATTCATTCTTACCATAAGTCGTAGCAACCTCAGCATATAATTTTTTTTTATCAAGCCAAGAACTTTCACCATTTCACTTAAAGGAAGCACTTTGGCATATCCAAATTGCCAGCATCACTACTCTGGCACTTTGGGGCCATGATGAACTAAAATAAGGGTCTCTCGAACACAAGCTCTGTGAGAAGGCTACTAAGTGACTGATGGGTGGGGAGTATATCCCATGTGAAGACACAGGACAAGGGGATAATTCACATCCTGGGCAGGTTGGAGTGGGACTTCATGAGATTTTATCAGGCTACTCAGAACAGCATATGATTTAAAGCTTTGGAATTATGTATTTCTGGAATTTAACATTTAATATTTTGGACCAAGTTGGCTGTGGTCAACTAAAACCACAGAAAGTGAAACCATGCATAAGGGCGAACTACTGTGCCTATTTTGAAGCAGGCACTGTAATTGGTGCTTTACGATGCTATATGATTTCATCTCTAAAGCCCTCCTCCAACAAAGGTATCATTGAGCCCAATATCTAGATGAGGAAATTGAGTCATAGGGGTGATAAAGCTTGCTCAAAAACATACAAGGTAAATAATAGTATAGTCATGTTTTAGTTCCCAGCCATTTTGCAGACAACCTTGTTTACTTACCTACTCTACAGCATCACCTCTACTGAGCAATGTGGCTACTTTTGCACCTAGAAAAACTGACTTAGGACCTGGGGTCATAATACTTGGCATGGACACCCTAGTCCAGAGTTTACCTCAGGAGGACCTTGGAGAAAGCACTTCCCTACTCAAAGCCTCAATTTTTATATCCATCAAGTGAAAAATGTTCAAAGATTATATTGGCATCATTAAAGGAGATGGCACATGTAAAAGCACTTTGTAAACAACAAAATGCGTTTCAAAAACAGGTTGATACTTTTCAATGGTATGTTGGTAAGTTGCTTACCCCATCTCAGAATGACTATCAAATCAATTCATCTGAACAAGAGAAGCACCTTCCTGTTGGGAGAAGTGCCTCAAGCAGCCCTGGCTGGTTAGAGACACTTGCACAGCTCATTGGCTTAAAAAGCAGAGCAGAAGGACTGCTGCATGGGCTCGGGCCAGTGCCTTGAAAACTGTTCTGCAGTGCCCCAGGGGCTTCATTTGGATAATGGATTCTGCCACTAAAAATATTACATACATTCTCTGTATTTTGTATATGCTCTATAATATGTGACACATACATATATGTTATCGATACATTTATTATAAATTAAGTGTGTGTGTGTGTATATATATATATATATGCATTGTCATATGGGAATGGAGAGGGAAACATTGCTCTGCTTTAGGAGGAGCAGAAAATGCTTTAAGGAGCAGGTGGCACTTGAGTTGGTTCTTAAAGGATGAATAAAGAAGGAGAAAGGGAAGGGTCTTCCAAACAAGCAGAAATCATGGACAAGGGAATAGAAGCCTGAAAATGCATGGCATGGCTAATAATTCTTAAGGAATGGAGCAGAGGATACCTGAGGCAGGATAGGGCCAGGCAGGGAAGCAGGTGAGGTGGGAAGTAGAGGGAAGGGCCCTGAGTGCCATATCAAAAGAAAAGACTTGATTGTCCATGTCAGCAATTCTCACCCTCCTGACATGGGCAAGGAAGCTGGTTCCTGCCACCTGGAGTCTCACTAGAGGCTGAAGAGAAAGATGGCCAGTAAGAGAAAGGCATTGGTTAGGGACTCCTGGCACTAGGGTTTATATTTCATTCTTGTAGCATATTTCGCTTTTATTGTCCCAGGTTTTTAGTAAAGCAATGTTCAAAGTGACTGCTTGGCATTCATCAATTCTTGGGGCTTTAATGGAAGGCCCCAGCCCAGGGCTGTTCCTGAACAAGCCCAGCAGGGCTGCTGCAGCCTGGGAAAGCCAGTCAGAACTGACAGGGGAGATAGCAGAAGGTACTAGATAGAGGCAGTCTGGAACAAATGAGGTGGTGTGGAAATAGGAGGACAGATTTACAGAATATGGAAATATTCCTCTGGGTTTCAAGAAATATTTAGGGAGGAAACCTAATAAAAGAAGAAACTTCCTCAGGTAAGCAAAAATGGAGGCTTGAAAGTCTAATTTAGATTTTAAAGAACACTGTGACCACAAAAGGATGAAAAGCTTAGTGGTATTTATTCTTCTGCTTCTTTTTTTTAAAAAAAAAATCTGCATCAGAAGATATGTTTATTGATTTTGGACAGAGGGGAAGGTAAAGAAAAAGAGAGAGAGAGAGAGACATCAATCGATTACCTTCCATATGTGCCCTGACCAGGGATTGAACCCACAGCTGGGCTATGTGCCCTGACTGAGTATCAAACCCACAGCCTTTTGGAGTATGGGACAATACTCCAACCAAATGTGCCACCAGGCCAGGGCATGACATTGTCCTTTTAACAAGCTCTCAAAGGAATCAATCAATGCTAAGCTGAGCCCCTTTGCCTAGGAAGGTTCACTACCAAGCAAACTCTCACCTACCTGCCAAATGCTCTTTGCTGGTATTGTTTCCACCCTTGGGCCACACAGTCTGGCTGAAGAGTCTCATGCAACTTCAGGGTCCATCTGGCCCGGGGTTTTACCTGCTGGATCAGTTCTTGAAATGTCTTTTCCCATGTCGCAACATCCAAAATTATTTCCTCTTGAGGTTTGGAGTTCATGTTTAGTGAGTAACTCCCTCTTTTACTTGATGTGCAGCAGGAAATAAAAGCAGTTTCAGTTTCCCCAACCACAACACATCACTAAGTTTCGTTTTAGACTGAGTACACAGGACAAGTCTTTTTCCTGAGGACAGGGGGCAGCAGAATTTTGCTAGTTTGTAAACAGGCAAATATCTGAGAGACATCCAAGTACAGAACTCTGTTCCAGTTTCTGGGGGGCACCAATGTTAGCTTTTATTTAATTTTTCTTTTATTTCACATCATGCAAAGCACTATGCTCAGCACTGGGGCAAGTACCATTGACTAAGACACAGTTCCTACCCCCAGTGATGCCCAAACCCTTATGCAGACTCAGGCAGTGGGTGGGGGGAACATCTGTCCCCCACTTGTCTCATGCACCCAGTGAACTCTCACCGGTGTTAGGAGAACCATCTTGATTGAAATCCTTAGCTAGTGTTTTGGTCTTGTGAAATCTCTGGGGTCCAAGGGCAGGACACCAGGTAGAATGAAAGGACTATTTAACCCTGCCTTTCACTATGTAAATTATCTCGGGGGCAGTATACAATCACATGTGGGAGGCATATTTTAGTGGCAAGATAGACAGAATTCTTGTTCATGAGGTGAAGGATTGAGACCAGATGTGCTTTAAAGTCAGTTCTAACTCAGAGACTGAAATTCTAGTAAGTAAGCTCTGTCCCTCTGAAGTTTAAATTCAAATGGGGGAGATAAGACAAGAGGACACTTATGTCCTTGGAAGCCTGATTACAGTTACTGCATCCCAGATATGACTGGCCTGTGTTCTTAGGCTTTTTAGACTTTAATGTGCTCTGGAGGCAGCAGCACCCTCCCCTTCTTCCCTCCCTCCTGGGATACTCTGTTCTAAACAAATTCTTGCTGCTTTCACAACTGTGCACATTGAGGGCACCTATGTCTATACAGATAATTATAGGAGCTTGGAATTGACCCCCACAGAGTATTAGAACTGAAAAGCCCTTAGGAACCAACTTGTTCTATTTCCCCCTGATTAGTATGTGTAAAGAAAACTGAGACCCAGAGGAAAGATGTTTCTGGTCCAAGGTCACACAGCAAATCAGTGCCAATACTGGGTCAGAACCCAGACATCGGGTGTCCTACCTCTGAGTTCTGCTCATCTGCCCCAACTGTACATAGGTCCTTTCCCCACCCTTTTCTTCTACTGTCTGCTGGATCTAAGAACCCAATTTCATTCTTTTTATTAGTTATCTTCAGAGCATGACCACATACCCTGCCTCCTGACTCCTCCAATAGTCATTTTTCCCAAAATGTAGCCTTGACTGACCCATTGCACTCCCTGCCCATTGCCCTGTGCCTCTGCTTTGTGAGTTTCTTTCAACATGCACAACAGCTCCGGGCCAGCCTGATTCAATGGACAGGGAAGGGGGGAGACTATGGGATATGAGCTGAGATTTGAGGGCTGAAAGAAGCCCATTACCTTCCCTGTTACTACAAGGAAAAAGAAGAGAAGAAAGTTATGGCCCTTCTAAAACCCCATGGATGTACTGTAAAGCACTGGTTTCTTTGTACCAAGGAACTGTGACTCCAGTATAATAGAACCATAGATTTGCTTTTTTGGAAGAGACCTGAAATAGTATCTTGTGACCCTTCCCCCCCATGTCACTGAGAAACAAGGTATAGAAGTGACTCATCCAAGTCACACAGTGTGATGGCAGTGACCTCTAGGCTCTCACCAACTGTTGGTGCCTTATCATAGGTTGGTCAAAGAGTTCTTAAAAAGAGAATAGGAATAGAGGAAGGATCCCCCAAAGCAACAAAGCTCAGGTCAATTCTGTGAAAGGAGGCCATGGGAAAATTTAAATTTTCAGCAGTTCAGAGCTGGAATACACCTACAGGATAATCTAATCCTGGGATGGCCAGTGATTTTCTCTCCCATTCTTGCCCAAGACCAACCTTGCTAATCCATGCTTGAATACACTCTGGGTCTGGATATTACTTCAGAATCCCTTTCATCTCAGTTCTGGATAGCCACTACCGAGCAATTGGTAAATGAAAAAAAATTTTTTTGCCATTTCTGCAATAGCGCAGATCCCTTATTTTACAAGTTTCAGAAACCAAAGCCAAGACAGATTTGCAATAACGAGAGCTAAATCAGTTTCGTAATCTTAGATATGCACCCATTTTCACAATATCACATGATCTTTCACAGATAAGTCTAACACAAAGCTTACCACAAACAGATGTGTTTTTCTTGGGGATATTTTAGGCTTGGGAATAAAGCAGGGTAGGCATGAATGAGAGGGACTGAGGGTGTGAGACTGAAAGAGGAGGCAGAGGTTCTACCTGTGGTGATCATCCACTTGTTAACTTATTTCTGTAGTTACTTTAGTTTGCAAGTGATAGGAAATGAATGGAGGGACTTGATTTAATTGAAGGAGAAAAACAAGAAACAAGAACGTAGTCCTTAATGTAGCAAGAATTTTACTTATATTTTAAACATCTCTTCAACCAGTTAGCATAAGTTCTGGAGGTATATGTGGAACAGATACAGAAAATTTCATGGTGATTGATCTGGAGAACAAGGAGGCAAGGTGGTTCCCTAACCTAAGTCCATTTTTTCCCACTTCAATCAAGGTTTCAGAATAGGGAGAAATAAATTCTGGACTCAGAGTCCCTGCTGTGTTGGTGATGTCAGATACATCTTCAACTCCCAGACCCTGAGGTGGCCTTTCTCATACATAGCTAAGCAAGGACTCAAATTTCTGATACCACACTAAAACCCATGAAAGCATGCACATGTCTAATGAAGGAGTGTATTGCAAATGGTAGAAGAACAGGCGGGAGGCACAGGGAGCTATTTTGGGTAATCTGAGTGGGGTCTTCATGCTGCTCCTCTAAAGTTCTTCTTTCTGGGCTGAGGCCCCTGAGCACATCAGAAGAACCACTGATCCAGTTAGGACTATCTCTCAGCATAAGGTCAGTCTGGAGGAGAAGGGTGGTAGTAGGATCACAGCACTCTAGAATGTAATAGAAGGGGCTGGTTCCCCTACACTGCACAGTATGGATAATCACAACTAATTACAACAAGGAGCAGTGAAGTTTAAGGAAAAGCAGGTGTCTTGCAGTTGTCTTACAAATATCAAAGATCAGTGGGGTCTGGTCAAGATGGCAGAGTAGGTAGACATTGCACTCAACTCCTTCCATGAACACACCAAAACAACTAAATTATAGGTCAATCAACCTGGATAATCATCTAAATAAAGACTAGCTGGACAGCAGTCCTATAATGATGGATATAAAAAGAAGTCACATTGAGATTAGAAGGAGCAGAGATGCAAAAGGGGCTGACCTCCTACCCATGTGTGGCAGTTGAGAATCTGGATGGATATCTCAGCTGCAGAGGTCCCCTGAGAAGCAAGGGGTCTCAGCTCCACATGGAGCTCCCCACAGAGCTCCCCAGTCTGCTACACCAGAGCTGGGAAGAGGATCCCACATAACATCTGGCTGTGAAAATCAGCAGATTCCTCTTCCTTCCTGGTGAGACAGTGAGAGGGTGAGACAGAAGGCTGCTGGAAACCCAAGCTCTCTCTTAAAGGGCCAGCACACAAACTCTTGCTTGCAAGCACTCACCTTAGGTTCTGGAGGAGGGATGGTGGCTATTGGGGGGAAGGGCACCAGAGACATAAGGGGAAAGACTGAGTTGTGTGACTTTGATGCAAGGGCTGGAAGGATAGCTACAACCGTCCCTGTGTTGAATCTTCCCACGTTGCTGACTGGAGCCATCTTTGCTGTTTTGAGCCCTCTCCATACACAGCCAAATATGAGCTTGTTTTAACCTGGTGATTTCTATTAGTTCCCTGAGACCCTACCCCATCCACTTGTCCATGGCTAAGTCTCTTTTGGGGGCAACCAGCCTGGGCCCACATTAAAGATTTTCTTTAAAACACTCCAGTCAAGCTTTGTGTATGCCAAACATATAGGTTGAAACTGAAGTGTGTGGCTGCAGTGAGAGGGCTAACAAGACAGCTGCCATTGTCCCTCCTTTGAGACCTTCCACTACACAGCCTAACCTAATTCTGCATTGGCCTGGTGAACTCCATTAGCTCCACAATGATGACTCAAGACCCTGACTCACCCAAGTTGTGTTCCACCTGAGGCTCTTGCAGTGGCTGAGCCTTATGGGTAACTGTGTGACAGAGATGGGTCTGACTTGCTCCAGGGCAGCCGGCGTTGGTTCTCAGTGTAACCCTTCCCACACACACCCAAGCCCAACACAGGCAGCTACCAATTGCAAATTGCTCTGTAGCTCCTCACGGGTAACCCCGGGGCAGTCTTAGGCAGCATCTGACATGAACATGCAACAGAATCTCTCCAAAGAGGCTCCAGAATCAACCTGCTGGGTGGCCAGCTTCAGACCGCAGCACAACACCACTCCATTCGCTCCGCAAGTGGCACACCCAAAGGAAGTTTTCAGTAGGTACCAGAACCCACTGATCTAAGAAAAAATAATGTAAAGATCAATGAAACGAAAAGCTGATTCTTTGAAAAGATAAGCCAGTTTGATAACTCCTTAACCACACTCATCAAGGGAAAAAAAGAGAGGACCCAAATAAATAAGATCAGAAATGAAGGAGGACAAATGACAACTGACACCATAGAAATACAAAAGATGGAAAGAAAATATTATGAACAACTATATACCAACAATTGGACAATATGGAAGAACTGGACAAATTCTTAGAAACATACAATTCTCTTTTTAAACAATATATTTTATTGATTATGCTATTACAGTTGTCCCATTTCCCCCCTCACTCCTCTCCACCCTGCCCACCCCCTCCCACCCACATTCCTCCCCTTTAGTTTATGTCCATGTGTCATAAGTTCTTTAGCTTCTGCATTTTCCATATTATTCTTGCCCTCCCCCTGTCTATTTTCTACCTATTGTCTATGCTAGTTATTCTCTGTACCTTTTACCCCTCTCTCCTCCTCCCACTTCCCTGTTTCTAACCCTCCATGTGATCTCCATTTCTGTGGTTCTGTTCCTGTTCTAGTAGTTTGCTTAGTTTG